ACGTTAAAAACAGAAAATTGGAAATTTCGCCATAAATTGACCATGTATACATAAAAAATCGATATTTATGAATTCTCTGTTATTTTTTCTGCGTTCCAAAATGCTTTACAATAATATAGGACTTACATATAGCTGGCAAAATTAAATATAAAACAGACATCTTTTTCAGTTAACAGGCACATGTTTTTGGTAAATAATGGAGACATTTTAAGGGTTTTAAGTAAAACTACAATATCAGATATGCAGTATTTTAAGCCAGTTACTTATTTTTGAAAAATATTTTATTTTTTTTTAATTGATACTGGCAAAAATTTGACTTACGATATAGAGGGAGCATTTGTTATAGAATACCTAGTATATTAAATTGCTGTCATTTATAGCATTTATTTGGGAGAATTTATTTTTAAGGAATGTATTTCGTCATTATCTATGATACCAATATCATTATTACGTCTGTTGCCATACACAAACTGTGAAGATATTTTAAATTAAATAAAGGAAAACTCGATTAATTTTTCGATCAATACCAGATTTTTGAAGGTTTTGGACAAATAAACCACATTATATGCTGACAAAATAAACTTTGTAAGATGCAATTTTTGTAGTGCAATTTTGTGTAGTATATATTGGTGAATTTGTAATATAATCATGTTCCAAGTATAGTCTATGGTCCCCACTTCCATTTGCGGTTGCAAAAAATGCAATTGAACTACAAAATTCGTTTAAAATTGCAATTAAAGTTTTTTAACGACCTGTCAAAAATGAGCAAAATCGACATTTCAGAAAAACGGTTTGGCTCAAATAGGTCATGTGTATCAATAGATGGCGCTATTTCCATGTGTTTGCCAGCGTTGCCAACCACAAAGGAAAACTGGGATTTTAGAGCATACTTTTAGGCGAAATCACAAAGCGAATGTTAGATACTAAATATTACACACCTTTTTATACTTACGTTTGTTTATTTTATTACCTTCCATAAGTTGTATTCCCAAAAAATAAAAAAAGTTTATAATTTATATATTTATTTTTTATAATAATTATTTTTATTATATAATTTACATATACAATTGTTTTTTATGTTGTTTCTTTATGATCATCATTTTAATTTTGGCAAAACATATTTTTTTATTTCAGTAATATTTATATTCCATTTTTACACATTTTTAACCTATTTAATAGCATTGTTTTGTATATAAAAACAAAAAACTATTACACTAAAATATCTAACGGGAAGTTAATGCAATCAATCAATGGATTTCCGAAACATATGTAAAAAAGTTTTTAAAATCTATTGTATCTATTTTTGTAGAAAGTTCATGTTTAGTTTTGGTACATGTCAAATGTAAAAGTATTGAATAGATTTTAAAGATATGAGTCGTTTATTTTGAAAATGGTTGAAGTTCATATTAGGTTCGGATACGATTCTTATATAATCGATCATGTTTAAGGGCACAAATCTACAAAACAAAATTAATACCACATAACAATATTTTTTGAAACAAATCAACCCCAAACATTTTTAAAATCTCCATTTAAGAAAAATGGATTTAAACGACTTTCGTGCCTGGATAAGAGTCGTTTACTTTGAAAGTGCTTTAAGTCCATTTTAGGTTCTGATACAATATAAGAAAATGGATTTAAACGACTTTCAAAATAAACGTATCATATAGTGAAATCCCGGACTTTTTCACACCGTACTCTATCCAGTGAAAACCGTGAAAAACGATTCTAAATTCAATTTCTGAGCGTAGAAAGCGGAACATAATAACAACATGGATACTGTGAACAGGTTTTGCCTAAATAGTAGTTTAAAATAATTGAACCTATGTGTAGTTTAACCTCGATTATCGAGGCTAATAAGCCGGAAAATCCAATATCGTGAAATTAAAAATTATTAATAGTTTACGTTATTTACGTTATTTGTTATTTGTAAATATTCAGAGCAACCGATCACCAATAAAATACTATATAAACTAAACAAATTAGTAATTTTTAGGATTCACGAGGGCTGAAGCAATTCTAGGACAATTACACCGTATTTAAAGGTACAATCAAATTCCTCTTTTATATTTTCATCCTTAAACTTCCTTGAAAGTTTTTAAAGGCCGTATACAGGAGAAAAAGTTTGACGTTTGCCAAAATACCTCTAACCTTGTATAAATGAAGGAAAATCGGAGGACGCCTTATGTTGTGAAGTGTCTCCTATGTATAGATACAAGTTACTAATTCTAATATTTCAACAAAAATTATTTTCGAAAATTTACATTTATTTGAAGTGGTATGTTTTAATTGTCCAGCTAGGCAATGACCCCAATGACCATGAGTCCAAGGAAGCAAAACCAGGATTTTCGAAGAAAAACCTTAGTGTACTAAGAAGCCTTTTAGCAGTCCTGTTTGTAATCCAATCGTAATCCTTTGACGGATGTTTGGAAGGCAGTTTGAACCCATGATGATGATCTAAAATATAATTAGGGGATTTTGTATAAAATCAATGCGAAGTTTGTATTTTTATACAATCATCCAGTAGGGGGTGTAGTGTATTAAACCTTTGACGGATTCCCTCTCATCAATGGAAGGCAGTTTGAAACCTGAAATATATGATAAGGGATTTTAATTAAAATCAATAAAATTCTATTCGGTTTGTCGATGGGAATTTCGATAGAGATCGTAAGTAAGATAGAGCTTGACATTTTACACATACATTTGCTACATCAAAATTTGGGCCTGGATCAAATCGACCATTTTATTCGTTTAAAATTGAATTAACAAAGGAAGGAGTGAACTGATGGGCCCCATCTTAGAATATGGTCTAGGTTTGGAAAAAGTACTTCAATGCGTGAAGTTGCGGTCAAATCGGACATTGTATTCGCTTGGTATTTTGTTAACAAATTTTTAAAATATTGGCACTTTGTAGGGATTGGACTACTTTGAGTGGGAAGTACCAGAAGGAGTGGACCGATATTTCTCATCTTCGAACATCAATTAAATTTGGAATTTGGAATTAATATTAGTATGGATGAAATCGTTTACTCCCTTTGAGAGTTATCGTACGCCCCATCCAGATAGACAGGCACACAGATGGATGAACGGACATTTGTAAATCTACTCCAAATTGTTTGAAACGGATTTGGGCCAAAGAAACGTGGGGTGTAAAACCAATATTTCGATGAAGCATGTACCATCATTAGTCATAAGGCTGAGGGTATAAAAAAAACTGCCGGCAACAAAATCACCATGGCTTTGTCGCCATACGATCTTAGATAAGTTTAATGCTCGCCTCATGGTGAAGGTTATAAAAAGTTCGGTTCGGACAACGACAAAATTAAACTGAAATTTGATAATGCTAGAGTAAGACACTATAACTAATTAATACCAAACAGAAACTGCAATTAAAAATTTACATTACATACCTGCGGAGGACACATACACAAGTGTATAAATAAATGTTAATTGTAAAAAAACATCAGTTGAAAATTAGAAAACCGGATAGCAGCTTCATTGCTATATATTTGGCTCTGCTAACTGTGGCAGCTCTATAGAAGTTGTTGAACATTTTACAATATTATAAGAATAGCAATATTGAAATTTGTTTCCAAATTCTTCAAAAAATGTTTTATGAAGACTTTACAAGCTTTACATATTCCTTTACATTATAGAGTTTTTAAATCGTTTGACTTCAAATAACTTTCATATCCACAAATATAAGTAAATTAAAATTATATATTATGGATACACAATTATTTACAAATCCATACATTATATATTTTTGCAATTTCGATTCATAGAATCCGATAGAGTTTCATCGAGAATGGTTTATAAAAAGTTATCCTTTATTTGTATTGACTTTAGGACTCATTGAAATGTATGAATATAGAATTTGACATTTATCGTCATTAAGGATTGAATTTAAATTTTTACATCTTTTATAACATTAGGGGTTAAGGAAATTACATTTAATATAAAAACAAGGCTATAAAGGTAGTCACATTCAATTGAATCCTTATAGCCATGTAACGCATTTACGCTTTTAGGCATCAAAAATGTAAAATTTATTTATGGGAAATTTAAAATTCGTGTAAAATTTAAATTAAGATTACAAAAAGGTTTCATATCTTTTTTTTTATTTTATTTACCATCCATTGTTTCTTGAAAAATATTTATCTAAAAAAATCATTTAATTTAAAAATTAAAAGAATTCTGTATATTTTTATATAAGAGCACACAAAAATTGTACCATTTCTTTACTTTATTCTTACAATATGTTATTATTTAGAAAAAAAAAACTTAGTTTTTATTTATACATATAAAAATCATTTAGATTTATAAGTAAAAAACAATAATTACAACTAAAATATAATTTTTAATTGATAATAAAAATCAAACACATAGAAGGAAATGTTTGTTTGTTTTGTTAAAGCAAATACAGTTTTTAATTACCACATAGAAATTTGGGAATTTCTTTAAGAAACAAGATATAATTTTTTTTATATATGTATATTTAATGCGCTTTGGTAGTGATTTGATTTTGATGGTATAAAGGCGCCACTATTTATAAAACATTTTATATTGTTGTTAATAATTTGTTATTAGTTTAATATTTAATCTAAACGCAAGTACATAATTATATTAATTTACATTTACATATTATTTTGTTTGTATACATTTATGTTTTTGCAGTTGTAAATATTTAATTCGATGAACTTCTCTTTCTTTGTCTTGTATTAAAAATGTTCTTGGGGTTCTTTCTATTAACAAAGAAATGGTGAATGTTACTCACTTACTTTTCATAAATATATATATAAAAACAAACAAATAACCCATATGGGTTTGTTGTCAGATTTGTTTTCGGTGTTTCTTTGTTTTGTGTTTTCTTTCTTTTTGCTTTACAGTGTTTGTTAAATTTATTTATCTTATAACTAAATTTCATTTATATAAAATTAATATTAATTGTATTTGTTTAGTTTTTTGTTGTTGTTGCTATTTTTAATAATTGTTTAATGTTATTGTTTTTTAATGTTTTGTTTAAATAATATTTATATATAAATAGTAAATTATTGATTTAACTATAAACTACTATCGCAGTCCATTTGTTGTTGAGTTTGTCATTTCTTTTTGATACGTTGAACAATCCATTCCAGACCTTGATAGAGACTAAAAATGAAAAACAAAAAAACAATTATTGCATGTAAATACACAGTTAAAGCATCACAAACATTATTCATTATCAATGGAATAAACAAATCAAAATGAAAATCTATCACAATAAAAATAATAATAATTCCCAATGTTGTTGTATTGACAAGCAACGCTACGTGAGGTGATATGCAATCTTATCAAAATGTTATTTAAGTATGTTTTTGATAGGAGATACGTTTTTAAAAAATATGGTCGTTTGTACCAGATTGAGTCCAGAGTATTATGGTTTATTTAGCAGAATAGAGCAAGAAGCCTATAGACAATTTCTTACACCCAAATTAGCATGAAAAATTGAATGCAATATGTAGTATAAAATTCGTATGACTTTTAAAACACCACATCAAAGGTTCTTTTGACATTTGAAGGTGTATTCTCTTTATTAAACGTCTAAGAGGTTTACCACCCATTATAAAGAGTTTTCCATTTCGGATTTTTTTTCTTTTAAGTTGAAATTCTTATATTGGCGAAAAAGCATCGCCTAAATGTCTCATAACGAATAGAAAATATCAAAACCTACTGCAACAAGTAAAAAAGTGTCAGTTGGTGTTGTCGACAGATATATACCCTCAGCCTATTTGCTGAGGGCTTCGGAGTTACACATAGGTTTCTATTATTCGCTTTATATAAATATATGTTTTTTATCAAAGAGGTTTCGCTTCAAATTAAATTTACAAGTGATCTAGACTTGGTAAAGATAATAGGTTGTGAAAAGTTTGGTTTAAATCGGATTTATAAATATTGAAAATGTTGACCATTTGTGAGGGAGGTAACAGAAGGAATGAACCAATGGGTCCCATCTGCGGACTTGGTCTAGGCATGGTTGTACATGATTTGGTTCAAATGGAAATTCCATTCGCCTGATATCAGATTTATAAATATTGAAAATTTTGACAATTCGTAGGGGAGGTACGAGAAGGAGTGTACCAATGGGTCTCATCTTCGAACTTGATGTAAATTTGGTAAAGATAATAGATTGCACGAAGTATGGTTCAAATTGGACATTCCATTGCCGGCCTGATATTGAATTTATATATATTAAAATTGTTGACCCTATGTGAGGGAAATAATAGAAGGAGTTAAACAATGGGTTGCATCTTCGGACTTGATCTAAACATCGTAAAGGTAAAAGGTTGTAACCAGTTCGGTTGAAATCGCATGTTTTTAAAAAAAATAATTTTTTAGCAGAATTTTGATATTTTGGGGGAGTGGAAGATGATCCACTCCAGAAGGAGTGAGAAATAGATCACATACGATAAGCGGAGTGCGGAAACGATCGTGGTCAAAAAGCGGCGAAACACCTCAAACGGTGGCCAAACCAGGACTAACGGCCAGGAAAGTCCTGCTATGCATTTGGTGGGACTGGAAGGGGATTATTTATTATGATTTGCTTCTATATGGCCAAAAGCTAAATTCTGATCTCGACAGCACCGTTTGAAACTGGCAATTGACCAAAATTGGCCAACAGGAGAGTTGTCATGTTCCACAAGGACAACTCTAGGCTACACACATCTACAGAAACTTCGGGAGCTTGATTGGGAAATTTTTAATGCATTCGCCATACAGTCCGGACTTGGCACCAAGCGATTATCATTTTTTTTTTTGCATTGCAAAATGTCTTTAATGATAAAAAAAATTGTTATCTAGAGATGTTTGTGAAAATCGACTACTAGTGTTTTTTAGCAAATAGAGAGCAGAACTTCTATGAGAGAGGCACTATGAAGTTAACTTCTAATCGGCCAAGAGGGTACAACTATCACGAAATATTGCCAAGGATCGGAATAAAAATAAGCAGAAATTTGTCCGACTATACTGCTCCACTCACTGGGGTTTTCTGACTTTGTGATCGACTTTAGTCAATATTTCTTTCTTCTTTTTTTAGTTGTCAAAATTGTTGTTCATAATTTTACCGATGTTGATAATTTAGTATTTATAAAGATCTATGAGTGTGATTTAAAACTTACCCTTCACCAGTTAACGCACAACAGCCCTGTATGTGCCATTGATGTTTCTTAATTGATGTTAAATCCAATTGACGTGATATTTCTGCTGCTGACATTGATCCTTTTAAATCCTGATAATAAATTACAAGATTACAAATTTTATAAAAGATTACAACAATAAAACCAATAAAAGAAACTATTTTGTTTAACTAACCTGTTTATTTGCATACACCAATAAACTGGCTTTACTTAAGTCTTCGTGTTGCAGCATACGATACAGTTCTTCACGTGTCACAGCCAAACGTTCACGATCTGTTGAGTCGATAACCATTATAATAAACTGCAACAGCAATTGAGGGCAGGCAGAGAGCACGCAATAAAATGAAAAGAAAACAAAAATAACATATAATAAAATAACTCTTCCATATAGAAATTTAGATAAACCCGCCATGCATGTAATTGAATCCTAAGCATGCCGGGGTCATCAACAATCGTACATACCTCTGTATTTGTATAATATGTACTCCATGCCGCTCGTAAACTCTGTTGCCCGCCCAAATCCCAGACAAGGAAATGTATATTCCGCCAAACAACTTCTTCGACATTTGATCCAATTGTGGGTGATGTATGGACGACTTCATTCATAAGAAATTGATAGAGTATTGTGGTTTTGCCAGCATTATCTAAACCGACCATAACTAGTTTATGTTCTGTAAAGAAGATGAAAATAAGAGAAATGAAATGATAACTATAAGAAATGTAATTAGAATGTCATAATAAAGAAAGTTAATTGGAAAATGTTAAGTGAATTTTACACTAATAAAGAGAATAGTTTTTTGTGATTTTGGAAGAAAAAAATTATCTGTTCTTGAAAGAAAATATCTTGTTTTTAAACGTTAAAAAATTTTAGGTATGAACAAATTTGATAAAGAGTACTAAAGGAAAATATTAATGTTGGTTCGAAATTTCTTTGACTTGGCGTTGAAATAAATTCTTAGCTAAAAGGGAAAAGTTTCCGAAATCTGCTAGAAAACCTACTCCAACAATTAGATCCGAATATTATATTAGGTTGGAGAAAAAGAAAAGAAAAGAAAAATCGGAGAAAAGATTGAAGTTGACCGGCATGTAATCAGTCGTAACATCACCCAGGAGTTAAAAATCGAACATAAAACTGTTTTAAACCATTTACACAAAGCTGGATTCAAAAAGAAGCTCGATGTTTGGGTGCCACACCAATTTACAGAAAAAATAGGATGGATCGAATTTCCATCTCACTTCATAAATGGATGGTGACTGGAGATGACAAATGGATCAAATACGATAACCCTGTGCCAAAACAGGATTAACGTCCAGGAAGGTTCTGTTATGCACTTGGTGGGACTGGGAGGGGGTAATTAATTATGAATTGCTTCCATAACGCTAAATTCTGATCTCTACTGTTAACAACAGGACCGTTTGAAGCAGGAGAGGTGTCGTGTCGGCAAGACAACGCTAGCCAACATATATCTACAATGACTTGCCGGACACTTCGGGAGCTTGGTTGGGAAGTTTTAATGCATCCGCCATACAGTCCGGACTTGGCACCAATCGATTATCATATTTTTCTTGCATTGTAAAATTTATTTAATAACAAAAAAAAATGGTATCTAGGAAGGATTGCGAAAATCGACTACTAGAATTTTTGGCAAATAGAGAATAGAAGAGCAGGCAACAAATCATACAACAAAACCGTGCATATTTGGCCCAAATCGGACATTCCGAAGCATGTTACATAAAGTCCTATAGTTCATATAAAAATAATGAATTTCTGTTTCCCCAATCTAATATATGGACATGTTCTCCAACATATTTTGCGATATGTGCCGATTTCTGTACTGATCCAAATTATGATTTGAACATATTTCGTCTTAAGGCTAATGAGGGTATATACATTTTTAAATATTGTGTTTATACCCCATATTTCTTTGGACCAAATCTATTACAGACAATTTGGTATATCTTTGGAAATGCCCGTCCGTCTGCCTGTCTTGCTGGCTGGTGCGCACGATAACTCTTGAAGGGGGCAACCGATTTCATTCAAACTTTGCCCATTTTAATATGTCTTCCAAATTTATTTTAAGTTCAAAAATGGGTCCACTTTTTCTGGTACCTCCCACACAAAATGGTCAAAATTGTGCAAAAAAAACTATTTTATAATATCATGCGAACGAAATATCTGATTTGAATCAAACTTTGTACAACATATTATCTTTACCAAGCCTAGATCAAGTTTGAAGATGGTATCCATTGGTCCACTGCTTGTGGACACAATAGTCAAAAATGCACAATTTATTATCTTTACGAAGTCTTGATCAAATTCGAAGATGACCCACTCCTTCTAGTACCTCCCGCAGAAATAATCAAATTTTTCAATATTTTTGTAAATCCAATATTAGGCGAACGAAATATTTAATTTGAAACAAACTTTTCACAACTTATTATCTCTACCAAGCCTATATGATGTCCGAAGATGATACCCATTGGTCCACTCCTTCAGGTACCTCCCCCACAAAATGATCAAAATTGTGGAAAAATTTTTATGATATCATGCGAACGAACTACTTGATTTGAAGTCCGAAGATCTGTCCCATTTCTCAGAAAATAGGCGAAAAATAGATAAAATATGTATTAAACGCCCTCTGGCGGTGGTCATAGGTAAAAATAAATATCAGAAATGAATTTTATCGACCCCAAAACTCCCCATATACACATAAAAAAGATAATATAACGAGGAATAAAAAATCGAATTCTGAATCAAAATGATGTTATAGGAAAAAAATAATTTTTTGAAAAGTGGGAGACTCGAAAATCAAGAAAGACTTATGGTTCCTTCAACAATGTTGCTTAGAATTGTCCATAGAATAATCTGGATTTAATCGAATTTTTGCAAATTAAATAACCGATTTGATCAACATTAAATCTGAAACCTCTTTGATAGAAATTCCGAAGACCTCCGCCAACCATAGGCTTAGGCTGTATATCTGCCGGTAACACCGACCGTCGTCAAGAAAAAAACCCCATTGGGCGTTTCCGAAATTGACTGAAGAAAATAGAAGATATCATAGTCCGGTCCTAATTTGTTGGTCTCTCTTTTTTTAATAATCTGCCTTATTAGATGTTAAATCGCAACAAAATTGCTATGCAATAGTATTTTTGACAATGAGCTGAAATGGCAGCCATTAGCCGAGTGAGATACGGGCGGTTTAAGGAAATTCTGATGTCTTCGAAAAAAATTTTCCAAATATTTCCGAAAAGGGTATATAAAAAAAATACTCCAAAGGTAAAGCCATGTTTCCAATACTGTCTGAACCAAATTAAATTAAATTCATCACAAGAAAATTCTAAATTCCATATTTATAAATTAAAAACATCCACATCGTTTGATTTTCAAATATTATTTGAAACCACCAACATTTTATTGCTCATGGTGATTCATAGAAGAAACCAATTTATTTATATACAATTTTTTTTAATGTTTAAAATATATTCAAGATGTATAATATTGTAAACAAAAAGCGAATTAATTCAACCTCCCCCACTTAAATACTCTTGAATAAGTATTAAAAAATAATGTTACAAAAACAATTTTATTGTCAAAAGATAAGATAAACGACAAAATGGAATATCTTTTTAATAAAATATTTCATTATTCTCCAAAAAAAGGTCACGAAGAAGCACTCCATGTAAGTAATAAATTATTATTTATTTAGAGTGAATTAAAATATAATTTTTTGTTCTTCTCCCACCATAATTGTCCCCCCACAAAAATGCAATAAATGTTGCGTGAAGATGTTAAAAGGCCAAAAGCCCTCTCTGTCTCTTGCTGGTTCCCACCCTCATCATGCAATGTTATAAAGTGCAATTTCAAACCAAAACCAATTAACCCGCATTTGTAGACTCATAACACAACAAAAAACATAAATGTTGAATGAATTTATGACGATCTCAAATTAACATGACAAATGTTACTTAAGAAGCTGAAGCCTACTGAACATATAAACATTGTAAATAGTTGTGTGTCTGTCTTTTCATGCTGATGATGCATACAACGACATTGCTTGCTATCTGGCATTGGCTAAATTATAGCGACTCATATTCAGAGTGTTGACGAAAGTAGCGGACAGATTAAAAGATTAATTATTCATAACATACAATAGGATTATGTGGTTCCAGCAAACAAAACTGTTAGAATTTGAAAATAAATAGTTTATAATGCCTCTTTTTACTTCGAATACGAAGGGGAGTTGCCAATCTTCTACTAGGCGCGTCTTCCCGGGTGGCGGATGGGAAGGGGGTCTCCATGATGTGCAGAGTGAAACTGATCTAGGTCTTCTAGATCAACTTTTCTATGCACATCGTGGAAACCTTGGGGATCTTCGAATTCCCCGAGGACCAAAATGGATCGGGGTAGTGCCCTTAAATAAATCAACTACGATGGGTAAAATAAGTAAAAAGAATAAAGTTACGGTGCTGGGAGTTAATAACCCAGTAACGGCGGCAATCGTTGGTGAGGTCACAAGCCACGTGTCATCGAGATCAAGCGATTGTGATCCGGCTGTTCTAGTGCTGCAGCCTGCAGCCACATAAGTGACTGCACATCCCCAAACCTAACCTAACGAAATCATAAGTATATAGAATGATTGCCAATGCCTGTTGAAGATTTCGAAGATGGACTCTTGACGAGATTCGAACTCGACCTATTTTTTGCTATCTTTGTAAAATTTTGCATTTGTTACCAGATTTTTTACTATGACCATTGATATCAATTTGTTCCTAAATTGTTGGGCTCTCTAAAATTTGTAAGTTTCAACAATGGGGTAAGGTGATAATTGTGCCGAAATTTCTTAAGGAAATTATCTTTAGGCAAATATTTTTTCGATGTGCTATATGATGATGCTTTATCGCCATACAAAGATTTTTAGTTCATTGTTTCACTCTTGTCGTCCAGTTATACAACTTCCTTCACTTTTTTGCTGGGTTATCATTATGTATGATTTAGTAAGGGTGTGTTTTAACGGAATGATAATTATTTTTATTGGCTTCACTTATATCCAAATGACGACACACGAGAAAGATATTAGACACGTGAGACCTTCAATAAAGATAAAGCGATGAGAATTATAATTAGCGCGCGTATTAAACTAATCTAATCATTCACAGAACGAAGTTCACATAAATGTATTAAGGTTCCAAAATCATAAACGTCTAAATATAGCGGCTACTATTTTAAAAACTATAAAAGTTCAACGGGAACCTGTTTCACATATAGGAAATTTGTAGGTACAATACGTCTACTATCGAGTATGTACTATTTAAGACTACGATATTTGGTATTGAAAATATGAAAACGAGTTAATAAATCAAATAGTTGAAGATTTATTATCGCATTTACAGCAACCTGAGGAATTTTTCGTGAAGCTCCGGATATAAGGATTGATGTCGATCATTGCATATTTTGGGCAGCAGCGTTGCCTTCCTCAATGCCTCCAACCAGACAAGCCATCCATAAGTGTATTTAGTGTTATTAGACCTTTCTTTGTACTTTCCTTTTTCATGATATCAAGATATCCCTCGATATCAAGAAATTTTTTCGCTAATAAGCACTACAACAACATTGGCATGAGCCACTACTTTCGCTCGCAATTGGTAAGCCACCAACGTGAAGTTGGAGTT